TCATCTCACCCCCCCAGCATCCCTCCTTGCCCATGACCAGTGGGGCCAGGAGGATGGCGAGCCCGGGGCAAGGCAAACCCTTGCCGGGGGATGCTCCCCAGCCATGATGCTAAAGGGCTTTTGTTAAAACCCAGCAGAGTCAAACCGGGCGTTTGATGAAAGCTCCGGGGAGAGCAACAGCCCCTTCCTTCCCCCCCGCCCCGGCACATCCTCATTGTCGGCAATTCAATGGGTTCTCCAGGGCTAAACTGAGTCCAGCACCCGGCAGGTTAATTATCCTCGTCCTCATTGTTTCTCTACAACACTCTGCAAAGGTCGGGAGCTGACACCGAAACCAATGACCCCGACGGGTCCTGCGCTCCCGACAGCCCGTGTCTGAGCAGGCAGGGAGACCTGGAAAGGTGGTGAAGGAGCCTCAATGGTCACCGGGCTTTGAAAAGCCTTTTCCGAAGCTTTCAGATGCCGGCGATGCCAACCTGAGCTTTGCGGGACTGTGATGCCCATCAACGTGGCATCAGGGCTGGAGCTCCCCGGCAAACCCCATGGGGAAAGGTGACGTGGCTGGGGTGGGCTCTGCCCCGGGTGGGTTGCCCATGGTGCCCACCACGTATGGATGTTTAAGAGGTCGATGCCGGGATCGGGTAATTCTCCTCCAGGAAAAATCATGTGTCTCGCGCCGGGAAGAGATTAGAAAGCCAAAGCCCTAAACACAGGGCTGATAAATGCTGCAGGCTACCAGAGAAACGCATGATTTTTGGCAGTTTTGAGAGCTGGGCTCTCATGGGAGTTATTTGGGGAATTTTTGGGTATAAAACCAACCAGTTGAGGCAACCAAAACCTCCCTGCACCCCCCACTCCACCTGCAAAACTCCTCCGGGAAGAGACGTTTTCCCATCCCTTGCATAAGCCCGACTGTCCCGGGTTTCGGATAAACCCCTCCGGGGAGCTACCGGCCCCTTACCGAACTTGTTGCCATCCTCGGCGGTGGCGGTGATCCTTTTGCCATTCACCTGGACGTGCTTGCCGCTGGTCCGGCTGTAGAGTTGGTACTCCCTGATCTGCCGTCGGCTCAGCTGGTCGGTCATGGCACCCTGGTCCCTCACGTACTGGTTAAAATTAGGAGACGGTTGATTCTCCCCCTTTGTTTACAAAGGGAAAAATAAAATCAATTTGTTTTGGACAACCGATGGCAAGGGGATGGAGCGGGGGAAGCCCGGCGGGGCGGGAGAGCTGGGGTTGAGAGTTGGTACTCCCTGATCTGCCGTCGGCTCAGCTGGTCGGTCATGGCACCCTGGTCCCTCACGTACTGGTTAAAATTAGGAGACGGTTGATTCTCCCCCTTTGTTTACAAAGGGAAAAATAAAATCAATTTGTTTTGGACAACCGATGGCAAGGGGATGGAGCGGGGGAAGCCCGGCGGGGCGGGAGAGCTGGGGTTGACCCCAGGGTGGGGGGGGACACAAGGAGATGCATTTTTCGAGGGAGAGCTCCCAGCCATCGCCAGCCAACCGGACCCCTTTGAGTAGCGACGAAGGCATCGAGCAGATGCTTTGGACCTGAGAACAACTGGCAGAGCGGGTAGGGAGAGGCAGAGATGTTGCTTTGCATCCCACGCGGAAG